CTGACTCACAGGATGTTTTGGTATGGTCAGTCAGTAAAGACTGGCTTTTACATTTTTTTTTAAATCTCGAGAAGGAGTCTCACTCTGTCGCCCAGGCTGGAGGGCAGCGGCGCGATCTCAGCTCACTGCAACTGCTGCCTCCCAGGTTCAAGCCATTCTCCGGCCTCAGCCTCCTGAATAGTTGGGATTGCAGGGGTGCCTGCCACCAGGCCCGGCTAATTTTTGTATTTTTAGTAGAGATGGGGTTTAGCCATGTTGGCCAGGCTGTTCTCAAGCTCCTGACCTCAGGTGATCTGCCCGCCTCAGCCTCCCAAAGTGCTAGGATTACAGGCATGAGCCACCACACCTGGATGGCTTTTGCATTTCTAAAGTGTCGTAAGATAAGACAAAGTGGAACATGCATCAGAAACCACATATGGGCCCTAAAGCCTAAAATATTTACTCTCTGGCCCTTTACAGAAAAAGTTTGCTCACCCCTGATATGGAAAAGAAGAATTTGGGGAGGAAGGATAAATAATCTTTAAGATTCATGTTATTTATACCAGTTGAGCACCCCTAATCTGAAAATCAGAAATCCTAAAATACTCCAAAATATGAAACTTTTTGAGTGCCAACATGACACCACAAGTGGAAAATTCCACACCTGACCACATGTGACAGGTCACAGTCGAAACTTTGTTCCATGCACAAATGTATTAAAAATATTGTCTAAAATTATCTTCAGGCTATGTGTATAAGGTATATATGAAACACAAATTTCATGCTTAGACTTGGGTCCCATTCTTAAGATATCTCATTATGTCTACGTAAATATTCCAAAATCTGAAAAAATCTGAAATCTGAAACACTTTTTGTCCTAAGCATTTTGGATAAGGGATACTTAACCTGTATATTCATTCTCATTTTTCTACAGCCCTGGCGATGTGCAAAGGATCTCTCTCAGTGCTGTGGAGAGTATAAAATAAGAGCGGGATCTCTTTCCTCCATCAGGTGTTAGTGTCATTGTCATTTAAATCAATCCCTCAAGGTGTTTATAAACTAGTAGGGCCCACTAGAAAGGTCTTTAGGTATTATCATGAAGGACCAGATTAAATCTGTGCCAGCCCGAAGAATAGAATTAGAACGAATGATTAGAAGTTATGGGAAGGCCAGTTTCACTGCAATCCAAGGAAAAGGTTTAAAATGATGCAGCTACTTATAAGAATGAAATAAGCCACTTTCAGAGATCAGTGAGCAATCCATGCTTCTTGCAAACATTCAGGAAGCATCTTCGTTAGGGGGCCCTTCCAACTCTGAGTCCTACCATGAATTTGAGTCATCCTAGACTAGAGCAAAGGACTGAACTAATGCCTTCTTAAGCTTCAAAGGCTAAACTGAGGTGTGAGCATATATAAACCAAGGGTCTGTGGCGTGAGGGTTCCCAGAGTACTGATATTTCCATTTTACATTCAAACAGCATGTCTTAGCTGGGTGCGGTGGCTCATGCCTGTAATCCCAGCACTTTAAGAAGCCAAGGCAGGTGGATCACCTGAGGTCAGGAGTTTGAGACCAGCCTGACCAACATGGAGAAACCCCATCTCTACTAAAAATACAAAAATTAGCTGGGCGTGGTGGTGCATGCCTGCAATCCCAGCTACTCAGGAGGCTGAGGCAGGAGAATAGTTTGAACCTGGGAGGTGACAGTTGCAGTGAGCTGGGATTGTGTCATTGCACTCCAGCCTGAGCAACAAGAGCAAAACTTCGTCTCAAAAAACAAACAAACAAACAAACAAACAAACAAACAAACAGTATGTCTTGGATCCCATCCACTTACTGTGGAACCCTGATTATCTTGAATGTCTGGAGTTCATTTCTCCCTGTCACCTCTTCTGCCATTTTCTCAGCACCACAGACGCCTGGGTTGCAGCTCCATGGCTCAATGGTTCCCTGTCCTCATCAGTATACCACTTCACCACAAGCTAGCCAAGCACTCATTCCTTTACTCTCCCAAGACAGCCACTAACAAAGGCTAGTGTGTGTGGCCAATACTTACTGACAGGCTGAGAGCATGGAACCAGATTACAGGGCAGCCCAGAGGAGACAATGGCATAAGCTTGAAATATTAGACATTACTGGGCTAATGTAGAAAAAAAAAAAAATACCTCCCAGGTCTTTTCTATCCTCCACCCATCACTGTCCAGGCACCTCCCCTCCCTTTATATGCTCTTCCTGGACTCTGGAGTCCTTTTAACCTTGTGTCTCTTGGACCCACCCAAACATGAGGCTTCACTTTATGTTATCACACTCAGCAATTCAGCCTCCAACCTCCCTTTGCCCATCCAGGGTGGTCCTGGGTTCTAGGCTTTGTCACCCAAAGCCCCCTTAAGACATTTTCTTAAATCAGCTGCCTACACATGCCATGCCTCTCTAAGAAGTATCAGTTTTGATTTTATTTTTCCAAATCAGGAAGAAGCCTATTTCCCAATTAAGCCCAGAGGCCTTTTCCGTTGCATCTGCGGGGAAGTGATTCCTTCCCTGGGCTCTGAGAGCACAGATGCCAGGAAGTACACCTTTGTAGGCATCCCTATTTGTTTGTCTCTCCATCTTTCCAACATGCATGCATCTCTCTCCTTAGCACAAAGTCCAGCTCTGGGACTAAAAGTCAAAGATAATATGTTTTCATTTACTAGCTAAGGAGGGAAGAGAATGTTCTCATTAGAGAAGTCAAAGCCCAGAAAAATATGGAATTCTCACAGCCCTGGCAACTGCGAGCATTTTCTTTTGGAGGGTGGTGTTGTGTTCTTTTTCCATATCTTCACATTTTTAGTTCTCCACACTGCAAGCCATTTAGTTAGATCAACCAAAGTCAATGCGAGAGGGAGGCCCAAGTATCCTGAGGGGGGAGCTGGGTAACCTTCCAGCCCTGAAAGCAAATGTAGGTCCTCCAGCTCAGGGTCTACAGGAAATCAGGCAATGAGACCAACCGTAAGGAGCGGAATTTGTTCCTCATTTTTATTTGTTTTTGTAGGACTCTGAAGCTGAGTTTATCTGCTGCAGTTTGGCACTTCTTGCCATGAGCTTTATGAGACAAAGATTGCAAAGGAAGGAGATGAGGACGAGGGAATGAGGAGGCCCAGGAGGTGGAGCCAAAGGGATAAGAAAAAGAGGCCCAAGGCCCCTGCGTGTTTGATCAGCCTAACAGGAATGCTGCTGAAGACATGAATCTGCAAAGGTGACGCCAGCTGGATTGGGTCTACAAGCGGGGAGCACTGGGGACCACTGAATTAGTCAGAGGTCCCCAAGGCTGCTCCTCCTTGGTCGCCATATGGCAGAGATTCAAAGGGTGGAGTTGTCTCCCCTCTGGAAAATATCCGATAAAATTCTTTTCTCTTTTCTTTTTCCCCTCTTACATGTAGCCCCAGACAGGATATGGGTGTGGGGTCAGCAGGCACGAAGGACCCAAAGGAAGACCAGGAATGTGACAGGAAGGGCCTGGGGGTGTTGTTAGAGTGAGGAGAGGGACAGGCCTTGGAAAGCTTAGAGGAAATAGATACCCTGAGCCTGACAAAGGGGTTCCCTAATTACCTGAAAGGCTTCCTGTTCCAGCCAGTGCACTGGCAGTGCTGCCTGGCGACCCCTTAGCCCCTCACCCTGACTCTGGTGTGTGATCTACCCTACCTCCAACAAAGACAGCCCACTTCTGGCTAGCTGAAGTGCCTATACACATGCTACCTTCTCAAAGGGACAGAAAAAAGACTTTCCCAGACCAAACTCTTTGTTGGGGTAAATGATGAGAAAACAGACCAAAGAAAACCCTTCCACCCTAAATTTTGCAATAATCATAGAATTTCTGCAATGGCTCTATGGTAGCATTTCACGGTACATTCAGTCATCTCTTTTATCTCACAATGTATCCCAGGACAGAAAATGACTCCTAGTATTAACAAAACAAAATAATCAAGCAAAAACCCTAGAAAGCTCTGGGGAAGGGCATAAAGCTACAATTGGCTCAAGTAGTTTGGCAAGGTTGAGAATAGGGCCCTATGCCCCATCCGTCCCCACCCAAAGCTGGGCTATCGAATTCTCAGCATGTCAGCCCAAAGTTTTGCAGAGGTTGTGTTGCTCCCCTGACCCCAACCTCGGCAGGCCAAGGCGAGACTGACACAGACCAGCTGAGGAAATAAGCAGAGGGTGGACCTCACTCGGCTGAGGACCAGGTCATTGCAAGCTGTGTAGCCAAAGGAGAGTGGAGCATCTGATTGGAATCTGCACCACTGGCCAACTCACCCCTGTTGTGAAGGCCTAGTCTAGCACCCACTCTAGGGTTTCGAAACCTCAGCGACAGCTTTTCCCTGCCCCAAAGCATATGTCCAGGACTGCCAAACAGGGCAACCCAAAACCTCACCCAGAGCTTCTTCCAGCCCAGGGGCAGCTCTCCCCAGCTGGGCAGACCCAAAGGGGAACCACGGAGAAGACTGGGAGTAAAGAGGTCTAGTCCAGGTCACTCTGCAGGACCGTAGGGGATGGCCTTTAGGATGTAGTGAGAGGATGGAATTGGGAGCCCATGAGTGCTGCAAGCAACAGGGAGAGCACTGTACAAAGTTTCAAACCTTCCAAGTGCAAAGAGATGAGGTGGAGAATGTCATTCCCCAAGGAAAGTAATCAAGCATAAATATTTACTGGATGCCTTTTTTCTTTTCTTTCTTTCTTTTTTTTTTTTAAACTAAAGTGAAGGAATACCTTAAGAAGTAAGGGTATGTGTAGGTGAGTGGGGGAGTGTTCTAACCCATCCACTAGCTTTAGAACTTGGAGTGGGGTCAGAGGAAGAAAACTCCAAAAGATGACAAGTTTTAAGTTTGTGCAGGGGTGAGGGTTTGTGGTAAGGCGAGCGAGGCTGGGTGCAGAGCAAATTCTGTCTACCTCTGCCTCCTCCGCAGTGAGGTTGCTCAAGTGTGACTGCAAACTCAGCTTCCCAGTCTTTCATGCAAGGCTTTGTTTGTTTGATAGGTTTTGTTTTTCTTTTCACGGACTGTTCATTCCGAACTCTCCTGGCCTGAGACCTGGAACCTCATCCCTGATTCGCTCCCCTCGAATTCCTTACTGTCCACTTCTGGCTCCCCTAGTCCCAGTGCAAGGTGGGCACCCCGGCCCCTTCCCAGCAGTCCGCTCCGGAGCTCTGCTTTCTGAATCAACCAAGAGCCACAAAACTTTCCTGCTTCTCTCCTCCGCGGTCTCCCGGTTCTTGCTGCAACTTCGCACTCCGCACTTTTGGCAACCAGAAGAGACCCTGGCATCTCCAAAGCGCTTTATCTCAGTCCATTGGAGCCAGTTGTGCTGACCGGTTCGCACCTCGGCTAACGCACACCCGCGGGGCGGTGGCCATCCCTTCCCCTCCCACCCCTGTCGGCTCCCAGGTGAGGCGCTGGCGCCGGCGGGAGCAGCCATGGGCGTCAGTGCGTGGGTTGGGCCGGGGTCTCTTCCCTCTGCGCAACTCTGCTCTGCCGTTCAGCCTCTCGGAGAGCCTCGGAGAGCCTCCACCCTCCCAGCGGCGAAGCCAAGCGGCCGCGGCGCGCAGGCGGTACTCATACTCACGCAGCAAACTCAGCAAGCAGAGCGCGGTCCAGCCCCGCGGCATCCCGGGCCCCGCGCGCGCGCCCCTGCGGACCAGCATCCTTCTCGTGCCGCTCCCAGAGAGACGCACCAAGTGGAAGACGCTGCTTGGCGTGGCCAGGACGCGCTCCTCCTGCCCCCTCCGCCCTGGAGAGGGGTGGGGGATTCTTGCTTTTTCCCTCTCTTCTCCCCTCCCTCTTTAGTCTTGGCAAGGCAGCCCCTCTCCTTGGCTGCTACTAACTTGAGCTCCCCTGGTTAGTCCCAAAGGCGGAGGGCGTTAGGAAGGAGGCTGGGTTGCCGCCGTCGAGGCCAAAAAAGGTGGAGGTTTGTTCAGGCTCCAGATGCCTCGTTCAGCTTTTCGAAGAGGCCCCATCCCACTTCTTCAAGCTCCACTTCCACTTAACTTTTAACCCCTTTGTGGCAGCCTTGCCGGTGGCCAGGGCAGGGGCAAGTTTCCTGTGATTTTTCCCCCTTTTCTTTCCTTTTGGTTTTCCTTTATTTGAAAGCTGTAAGCCAGTAACCATCTTGCAAAAGGAATCTACTGTGAGGACCTCAGTTTGGATGTATGAGCATTTCGTTAATCAGGTAAAACTTGACCACCGTGTGACCACCGGATCTGTGCTGTGTGTGAGTGAAGCAGCAGGAGTGAGTAGCGCACATACATGACTATTAAGTATTCATTTTAGTTACCCAAACCACTCGTGTAGACTTTTTCTTTCACTTTTTTTTTCTGCAAGATCTTTTTGTGTTAACTTTTTGTTAACTTGTGTTAACTTTTCCTATGACCTTCCGTAGTTCTCCACTTAGTTCCCCATCACCATCATCCTAAAGAAAAAGGACTTCCCTGGGAGCTTCTCCCCAGTTATCCCCTCTCCAGACCTGGGTCTAAACCACTAGGGCTTTCACCTTGCTCTCCCATCAGAAAAAAGACTTTCTGTGACTCTATCCTCCACCACATGATAGATGCTTGAGCTTCCTGTTCCTCACCGGTTCTTCTGAGTGTTGGTGAACTGAACGGCAGAAACTCTTAGCAGAGTAGGCAGCCTAGTCTTGAAATGGGGTTGTAAAGACTGGAGAAGAGAGAAGCCAGGCTGAGCAGATGATGGCACCAGGCGGGGAATCAGACAAGGCATAACCTGGGAGAGGCTGTTCTGATATCCAGAGTGGAATCATGGAATTATACTCAGTTCAGCCTCTTCCGTGAATTCTGTGCCACATAGCCTAAAGGGAAGAAAAGGAAGCCAGACCAGCACTCTGTGGTCCTCTCTGATTTCTCTTAGCATTATAAAAGTAGTTTTATCTTTATGGTCTGTCTCAAACCTACTATGCACTGGGTTGCACAGGAGAAGGATCCAGGTCTAAAAACAAAACCAAAATGTTATTCTGGTCTTGTTGCCCAGCATTCTTTTAAACAGGGAACAAAGTATTTCATCACACAATCAGAGCAAAAGCCTGATATGCAAATTTGATTGAAGACAATAGTGCGGTATGAATCTGTTTCAAAGTGCAAATGATGATTCAGAACTGATCACATAGTGATGGCAAGGGCCTGGGGACAGAGAGTGGCAAAAATGCATTTTAAAATTAGGCATTGGTCCTTGGGACTCCCAGTTAACAGGGAAAAGGAGTTAGTTCCAACATTGCCGGGCCCCCTGCTCCCCTCAACTTCCTCAGCTCCAGAGGTTGGGTCTGCTGCAGACACCCAGTGTGCGGTTGTGAAAAAACGTGGGGTTGTAATTCATGCTAGATGTAAAAGCTAATTTTGTCCACTTTAACTTCCATTTCTAGATTTTTTTTTTTCCTGGTTACTTTAAATACCATTTGTCTCCTGTAGCTGGACCATGGGAAAGAGGGGAAAGAACTTGTCTTTCTTTAGTACCTGATCTTAACTAGCTTTGGGAGCAGAGAGAGAATGATTCTATGGAGCAGAGTTTTCTCAAAGCACGATCTACAGAGAACCAAAGGTGAGGACCAGAATTTGTACTCTGAATAAGTATTCTCCATGACTCATGCACACTGAGGTTCAGGAATCCCTGGTTTAGAAAGAACACATGCTAGGTGCAAGGCGTGAGGGCGAAGTGGATGTCAGTCTTCAAGGAGGAAAAACAGAAGTAGGGGGCATGGGAGGCTGGTTGATCCCTTCCTCTGAGAGACCAGAGCTGTTTCTCCTCTGGCTTGCAAAGCTATGAATGGCCCCAGAACTATGAAGCTAGACAATGAGTGGCCACTCTTCATATTTTCCAGGGTCACCGAGACTCATCACCCCAAGCACACATACCTTGGCCCAGCCACCCCCAAACACAAGTACACAAGGGCACCCAGGGAGCCCAGCCTTACATTTCCTCACAGGCCAGATTGAGTTGAGCTGTCTAGTTCTTTCAAAGTTCTAGCCTTTCTGGGCTGCTCCTCAATTCTCTGCTCTCCTGCTTCATAAGCTGTTGCTAGAAGATGTTGGCTACACTGCGCAAAGTGGAGGATACAACAGGAATAAACTGAGTCAGAGCCTGTCTTTGTCCCTTTACAGACCCTTGGAGGCCATGACTACTCTTAACTATTAAACATCCGCTACCCCACCTCTCCCCAAAATACACACACATCATGTCAATCAACCTAAAATGGACCCTCATTCCATGTCAAATATAATACCTTTCATGTTAAAAAGTAAGGAAAATAGTTGTTATAATTCTGAATTTTAAAATATGTTCTTCATTTTGTTCTTATAATTCAACCTTTAATAGCTTGTTTACATGAAACTATTAAAGAGTTGAATTGCAGTTTACAAGTTGACTGAGTTGACATTTTGTCGGCATTTAATGAAAAATTTATGAATTTTGATTTTCCAATTTTGTATTTTGGAGCCAAGACTTCTTTCCCACATTGCAAACTTTTTTTTTTTTTTTTCCAGTTTGGCAGAGAGGAATCTTTGGTGGTAGAAGTGTTCAGACACTGGACCGACGCAGTGGCAGCCTGTGAGTCCCTTTTCTCCTCTTTCCACCTTCTCGTCTCCCTCCAGCACCTCCTCTTGGCAGAATCTAACCAGAAATCAGCTGACAAGGGCGTCTGGGAACAGTGTCCTGTGGGAAGTCACCATGATGCAATGTTTGCCTTCATGATAGGCAGGCTATTCCAGAGCCCACAGATCAGAAAGGCTCAGACCAAATTATGATGATCAAATCACAAAGGTTATTGAATCTATTTAAAGCACAGAGCTAGAACCAAGGGGACAGGTTTACATGAGGCTGACACACTGGGGGATGCAAGCAGGGCAAAAGTCCCGCACAGTCTCACAGCCTTAATCCTGTGTTTTGCCCTGCATGGTATAGTTGTGAGGACCAGAACTGAGATTGAGTAAGGGGATCAGCATGTTGAAGATCCTTGGAACCAGGGCATACTCATTCTATCGAGAGATGTTTAAGGGCAGCTAGGCTTGGCCACAGGTCTTTGTCAGTGTTTTGGGCAGCCATCCTTTTTGCCAGCATTTCTTGGGCAGAGATTATAGGGGGCCAGAAGGTGCGACCAGTAGGTAGTCAATTTAGGGATGACATAGACACCAGCATGAAGGTGGCATAATCTATACTTCATGGCTTATGATTTGTTTTGTTTTGTTTCTATCCTTTTCTGCCTTTAAGTAGAACTCTTGTTTGTTCCATCCTTGTGTAGTCCATTCCATTTATTCTATTTTACATGTCTTGCAGGTTACTAACTTAATATAGATTGAGAATCCCAAATCTGAAATTTGAAATGCTCCAAATTCTGAAACGTTTGGAGCAGTGACATGACACTCAAAGGAAATGCTAGTTGAGGCATTATAGATTCCAGATTTCTGGAATGGGGTGCTCAACATAGGAGTGTAATGCAAGTATTCCAAAATCCCAAAAGCATCCCAGATAAGGGATACTCAACCTGTATTTTTAGCACATCTTCTGAACTCTGCCTGTGTCTCACAAATGACTTGCTTACTTTGTATCTATAGTTAATACATCTGATGAGTTTCATCCACCTGCTTGTCTTGTCCTCTGTACGAAACTGAATATTCTCACATAATAGAGCAAACACACATTATAGCCAGTATGATAGAGAATACTACAGAGGAATGAGGTTGGGGTTGAAAGAGACAAGATAAATAACTAGCAGAAATCCAGTTTTATGTATTTTTCACACAGATAACCATTTTCCTAGTTGCATTTACTGAGTAGTCTCCTCTTTCCCTGCTGATCCGACATGCTATTTCTTTCACGTGTTCACATTTCATACATATGTGGGTCTGGCTCTTGGCTCTCTAACATTGGTCAATATGGACACCACAGTACCTTCACCATTGCCTTATTTACTGTAGGATTAAATAAGTTCAGATATCTGTAGGGCAAGTTTTCCTCTCCCAAATTTTCTTCAGAAATATCCTGACTATTCTTGGCTCTTTATTCTTCCAAATAATAATAACATATAATTTTACAAATCTTTATCGGATTTACTTCCAAAACAGCCTTTTGGATTTTGATCAAAATTGCTCCATAGACTAACCTGGGGAGAACGGAATCTTTCATTTAGAGAACTTGGTGTATATCTCCATTGTTTGAGTCTTCATTAAAGTTAATAATTTTCCCTTCATTAAAGTTAATAATAAATGATTTTTATTCATTTATTATTGTTAAATGATAAATTCATTTAATTCATTGTTAGATTTATTCCTAGGTAATTTATGTTCTCTAAGACTATGGCAAACAAATACTATCTTCTTTTTAATTGTTTTTGTTGCTGGTGTATGAAATTGCAATTTGTTGTTTTATATTAATCTTTCCTTGAGCTACATTATTACATTCTCTTATTATATTGAAATATTTATTTTTGGGTTGTATATGTAAATGATTATATCACAAACAAATAGTGATAATATGTTTCCTTCCCAATCCTTCTGCCACTGACTTGTTTTATTTAAGTTAATATATTGGCAAGAACATCCAAGGATAAAAGGGTGTGATGATCATGCACATCCTTGCCTCATTCCAGATTCTGAAGTGTAAACTTCTAATGTTTCCCCATTTGCTTAATTTTTAAATGTGTTTTGTATTTATTTGTTTATTATTTTTAAATTATTGTTTTATTTTAGAGACCAAGTCTCAATGGCCTCCCGTGATTCTCTCACCTTGGCTTCTCAAAGTGCTGGTATTACAGGAGTGAGATGCTGCAGCTGGCCTATATGTGCTTTTTATCATGTTAACTTGATTCTCTTCTATTCCTAATTTATTAAAAGATTTTTTCTTTAATAATAAACTAATGATGATTTTTTTCAAATGCCTTTTCTATACCTATTAAAACTACTTGTGGTTTTTCTCTTTTAATATGGTAGCGTGGTGAATTATATTTATGGATTTTTCTAACATTAATCCGACTGCATATTTGAGTTAAACCCAACTTTGTCAATTTATTATCTTTTTTATGCGCAATTAGAATTTAATTTGTTAGCACAATTTTCTATTTTTTATTTTTGCTTCTATGGTCGTAAATGAAACGACTCTGTAATTTTTCCTTCTCTTTTTGCATTGTCCGGTTTTGGTATTGCGGTTACGGAGTTTTTATAAAATGCATTGTAGAGTATTTCCCTGTTTTCCTATTCTTAGGAAAAGTTTTTATAAGACTGGGATGATCACTTCCTTTTAAAATGTGTTGGAACTTGCCTGGAAGATCATTTGGACCTCGTATTTAATGTGGGATTATTTAACAATACTCCTTGTATTTTTATAAATGTTATCAGTTCTCAGATTTAAAAAAAATTTCTTCTTGGGTAAATTTTGTTATTTTCTTAGGAAACTGAGTATTTATCAAATCTTTCAAATTGTTGGTGATAAAATTCCTATTTGCTTGTTAATCTGTATTTTATGTGGAGTGTGTTCCCTTTTTAATTTGTGCTATTAGTTGTTTGTGAATAATTTGTCTTAATTTGTTACAGACATTTAAATTATAAAAGTCTTCAAATTGCTTACATGCATAATTACATATGTTAAATATATGTTACCTCCAATGGGTTGGAGGTGATTCCTATGTTGTGAAAACACCCTTCTCTTGCATTTGATTAGGTGGGGCTGTTTCTTAGAAGGGAGTGAGCTTGGGCTGATCAACCGGTGTAGGCACCGAGGTAATCTGTTGGCCTGTGTCATAGGCCCCTTGGGATGTTAGCAAAAGCAGAAATGTAGTGATGTTCAGAACAGAGCTGTAAAATGCAATGCCTTGTGTCCCAGTTTTGCCTCCTAAGGGACAAGCTGGTGAGTGAGAGAGAAAGATGTGGTGGTGTTTCAGCTAGACTAGTACATAATCCACAGCTTTCTTGTCACTGCTGCAGCTATTAAGACCTGGTGACCTGAGGCCAAGTGCGGTGGCTCACGCATATAATCTCAGCACGCTGGGAGGCCGAGGTGGGTGGACTACTTGAGGTCAAGAGTTCAAAACCAGCCTGGCCAACATGGCAAGACCTCATCTCTACTAAAATTACAAAAATTAGCTGGGTGTGGTGGTACATGCCCGTAGTCCCAGCTACTTGGGAGGCTGAGGTGAGAGAATCATTTGAACCCTGGAGACGGAGGCAGTGAGCTGAGATCATGCCACTACACTCCAGCCAAAGTCTAAAAAAAAAGACCTGGTGATCTGACATGTAAGTGGGGAAAAAAAAGCATGTCACAGTATGATGCTATTTTGTTTTGGGAGAGGTAAAAAGTCAGTGTCAGCGTGGTACCTGTCTCATATGCAAACACAATGATTCATCTCAGTGTTGGAATTGTGGGTAATTTTCACTTTCGTCCTCACTCCAGTATGTAACACATACATTGATTTTTCACGATAACCATGTGCTACTTTTACAAACAAAAATACGTAAAGCCATTTTTGTTGTGAAAAGAAAAAGGCGTGCTAATTATACATGACTAAAGTTCTTTTCTTTGGATTTGTCAGGTTCTGTTTCGTCTACAGGAGCCATCAGGTGACAGAGGAAACAGCTTTGGCCAAAGGGCGCATGTGTCAGTGATAAGGGCAACTTGAGTAAAGATTCCTTACATCTTAGGAAGCAGCTTTCAGGAAAAGGGTCAGAAATCCATTGTTTGTGGATTTGTGTCTGTAATTCTGATATTGTCTCTGCGCATTTCCCTCTGTAGTGTCTAGACTTTCAAGTAATCTTCCTGATGGTGTAGGCCTAACTCAGTATTGCTTGTGAATGCAACCAGACAGCATTTATGCTTCCATTAAAGCCAGATATCAAAGGGGGTTCAGGCTACCCTGGGGGTGAGAGTGTCATTGATTCAAGAAAACTCCATAATGAAGGATTTATTCAGGAAAGCAAAAATAGAACTACTTTGCAAAATGTCCTTCCTCACTTGGAAATTGTCTTTCTGGTGCTACCTAACGGTAGGTATAGGAAAGCAGTTTCTCTCACTAAAGTGTCCAGGAAACTGCCTCAAGGGGCTGAATCTTCCTGAACCCAATATTGCATCAGTTCATGGCCCAACAAGCTGTGAAAGCCAGGGACTTAACAGCCTTTGTCTCTGTAAATCCAAATAGAGGGTTTTAATGGCGTACATCTTACAGAAGCCAAAGAAAAGAGGCTGGCTATTTTTAACTTGAGGCAGGAAAATGTGGCTGGAAAGGAAACATCTGTCCCAAACTATTCTCAAGAGCTTTATATAGAGGTCCCATCTATCATGAAACGGTCAAATGTAAAATCAGGTGTTTGGTCCAGGCCTGGCTCTGGAAGAAAATGGCAAAGCTTTCCTACGCTTCATTTCTCCCACTTCTTGCCTTCTGAGTTGGGCCTGTGGCTTGAAAGAGACCACCTCAGAGGCAGAGCGTCGGGGGATGGCTTAAGGACAACCCAATTCCTGTGAATTTTATGGACCCCTTCTAGTTTAGCATCTTCATCCAAAATGGCCCCACCCATTAAGTTTCACATTTTGCAGACTCCCCAGTCAGGAGTCACCAGAGGTC